ATACACGCCACACACACACACACACACACACACACGCGCGCGCGCGCGCGCGCGCGCGCGCACATGAGGAGGCACACGCACGCGTAATGGCGCGGAACGAAACGGCGGAACCGAGTTGCGCGCGAACCCGAGTGAAGTTGGCTGCGGTGGAGGCGTTTGGCTCCGAGAACGTCGCGTCGGTAACCTTCGACGTTTCTCGGCCGCGCTCGGCGCGTCGCCGTTCACTTCAAATACGAAACCGTACGAAATGAGCGCACACATATGATCGTACCGTGCGAGAGAATATAGGCGCTTAGCCCGATTTGGAGAGACGACGCGAGAAAGCGACATTAACGAAATGATCAAATACTATTGTGGAGGAGAATGCCCCATGACCAAAAATGAGCAACTTCGCGGCGTAAATGTTATTTCGAAACATTCTTCCGTTCCTTGATTTTCATAAATCTTCTATTTTATATCTAGATTCACAGATGATATTATCTCGAATAACATTTCAAAAGGTCTGTATTTATGATCCTTTCTCTTTTAGAATCGATCGTGCCTGAGAAAGGATCTGTTTTTACAAGAATTAATGTGTGCACTTACTTCGATTCAAGCGAACTGAAGTAAGCTGTTCTCCTTGTATACTAACTCGAGAATAGTTCACGAAATTTAAATTCCTTAACTTCATGCAATTTTCTGTCAATTTTCATTTTCGCGAAATTTCAATTGTTTTTTTTTTTAAATATATTTATCGAAAATAAAATTAATAGGATTAATGAAAAATAGAATTTATGATAAATCTCCTTCTAATAAATATTTTTCAAATGAAAATTTTAAGTAAATTGATAAAAGTAATGGTCTTATTATTTTAAACAAAACGGCGAAATAAATTTATTTTCTAAAGCGAAACAAACGACTTCTGTAAAATATCTCAACTGATTTTATTTTCATAATCTACATTCATAGTATTGTAATGAATGAACGATATATTCATTCATGTTGTCCACCAGGGTGAAAAGTGCACGGCACTGAAAAACCGCGTTTATGTGAGTCCCCTTGCGACGAATGATCTCTTCATCCCATTTCGACATAGAATAAATCGTGGGCAGCGTCAAATCTACCTAAGTTAGTTAATCTATTACAAATGCTTCGAATTGTCTAAAATTCATAAAAATATTCACTCTCACACTAAATATTTGAAGATAAGTAGCAGAGTTCAACACGCCACGCCTTGTGAAGAACACTTTTCACCTGGGACGCAGAGAAACGATACTTACGCTGTGTTTTATCGTGCAATAAACGATCGTTTCTATCTAAGAGTACAAGGAAAGAATACTGCGTTTCGTCATGTCACGCGCTATATTTCGCGAGCTTTCTCGCTCTCTCGCTCTCTCTCTTCTTTTTCATGGTAAAAAAAATAGTCGGTATTGGACGCCGCCTTGTTTAATACCGACAGCCTTTTTTTCTTCTTTCTTCTTTACATCGCGGATATTACATGTCGGACTGAAACGTACTTAAGGTCACAGCACACCTGGAGGGAATTGAACTTGTAGTCGCTTTTCTTTTTTACAGTCCGTAAGTTCTTTGGTATTTATAACACTTTTCAATGTTGTACTCTTAGATACCGCTAATGCGCTGCAACACAAGTTACTGAATCACACAAAACAGAGGCATGCGCGACCCAATTCATTAATAAAAAAAAAAAGTTGAACTGTTAAAAACAATTACATTATAAACATACGAAGATCAGAGATGTACGATTAGTTAAATATATTATCGTTCAACTCCTATTGCACTGACTGATCTCGCGATTGATAGCATCGACAGCTCCGACTGATTAATTACGATTACTAATACACTGTTTCCTTCTCAATCACAATCTTCTATCGCAGTGAGAGAAAAAGAAACTCTAATTAATCGCGATTAATGTTAAAACGATATCGATGCTATCGATCCGATGGCTACTTCTGCCAGTTTTTCGCGTGCGTGCGTGATCGAAGTTCGAGAACTTGATGTAAATCCGAATCTAATGATTCGTCTATATCTTATTGCGCAAGCAAATCATCATGGGTGTCAGCGAGTAAGCGGAGTCTCATGAAGAAACGAGGATGAGGTAATGTTAGTTTGCACGTCGACGCTATGAGACCGACCGTAGAATGCCGATCGTATTTCGAGAAATGGTGCTGTAGATTGGACTCGAGCGTAATTCATCGTCGATAACATTAATAGTCCTTCGTGTTAGACAATAATAAACATTCAACATGTAGCAGCCGTCGCTGCCGTCGTCACATTTCAAGACATGACAAAATTTTAACATCGTCCCTTAGCACGCATCTTCATTTCGTGCGCAATCGCGCAAGTACTGTCAAAAAGTATTCGCGAGAATTATTTATACATATATCACACCTTCTCCGATCTCTCGAAAGATCTCGGAAGAATCTTCTTCAAGCATCTTCGGGATTACGGATGCTTGTGCGGTCCTTACACGTTCAGTTGCTTGAAGTAATATTTGCAATATACTGACATCATCGTTGGCGGAGCATCGATTTTATGTAATAATTTCTCCTCATTTTCGGAGAATTTCTCCAGCGATAAACTGTATTCTCTGTCGAAGACGCCTATGAAAACAAAAATTGCTATTAGATAAATTAAAGTTGCAATTAAACTCGATAAATATCTCAATAGTTCGATCAGTTATCGGAAGATATATCTGATCATATCAGATAAACTTTGGAGATTGTTTAGACATGTATATAATTTTGTAACTGTATACATAACCCACCTTGATCGATATTCGTTCTGCCTAATACAGTAAATGCCAGGAACAGTATATCCCTATATATAGAAAACGGATGATCGCCTGTTTGATGTTTACTTCTTTCTAAGGCCACTCTTATTATAGGTTCTGCTAAATCGTTGCAACGGACATATGTTATCACTGCTTGCATCAATCTAAAACAAAAAATTAATAAGGCAAGAGTTATTATATCTGTTTGTTAAAAACTTGCAAAATATATTGAAAACTCTCTTTTTCTTTTGGTAATCAATAAATAAACATATATTTAGAAAATAAATTACACCTGATCAAGAAGAGAACCAACAATTCAATTTCAATTATATAATTATTTATTGATTAATGGAGAGAAAGAAAAGTATTTGATATATTTTACAAATTTGTTTTATCAAATGCAAATGTCATTTTATCGGAGAACATATCTATTATTTAATGTATCTTGCAAGAATTTACATGTATTTTCTCACTTCTAATGACATAAATTCAAGATTGCTGTAGTAAGCCTGCAAAAGTCTTAAAGTCTTAAACTTAAAGTTTAAATATTATCATAAAATCTAAACATTATTTATATGACATTATTTATATAACGCTTAGATTTTATGATAATCTTTAAAAATAATCTAATGAAACTTACGTTCTGTCTTCTGTGGAATTTGACTTCCACTGGAGATACATAGGCAAACGATCCATGTGTAACCGTTCATTATCCCACATGGTTCTAACACCCACCGCTCCTATAGTTCTCTGAAGTTCCGAGTTCTTATCATTATTCAACCAAAGATCAGGTAGATGACTTGTTAAGTTAATCCTTTCGAAATACCATATCAGATTCCAATATACTATCGGATGTTCTTGAATAAATCTGTGCTTGGTGAGACATGCGTCCCCTTCTTGACTTAGGACGCTTTCCAATTCTTTTCTTAGAACCAATGGATTCAAATATGGTACCGTTATCGGTTCCAACGACTCCTTTGGCTGATCTAACAATTCCACTAATGCTCCCATGAGAGGATCATTATTCTTCTCGCTAGATTCACATCTACATAAGACAAATGTATTTTTAATGTATTTTTAATGTTAATTTTATCAAGGACAATACCGACACGATCGCTTTAATCACCTATAATCTAATATTGTAACTGTGAGGAGAGGTACAGTAGCCTTGTCACAATACTGGCAGACAGTGTTTAAGTTGGAATCTTCCGGCTGCCAACCAGCCATTATCTCCTCATCGTATAGAATGGCAGCGCAATTTACAGGCAATGATGGCATCTACTGGCACTAGAAAGCACAAGCTCAATGGCAAGACGTTCCTCCAATTCTCTGGTACCCTTTGGATACAGACACTCCGCGAGCTCGTACAATGAACACAAATCTAAATTTCCATCACCTAATTAAAAAAAAAAAGAGATGAAATTATCATGCGATGTAAAGATCAATATCCGATAATTATAATAATTTATATTCTACCTGATGCTCTCATGGAAGTCTCATTTCGATCTTGTATAGATCCATCGGTGAGAGAATCTAAAGATTCATGCGATACTCCGTATGCTATTTTTTGTTCGCGTTCCTTATTTTTTACTGGTGTGCTTGTCGCCGAGATGGCTTCTTTTATTTCGTCAAATTTTTTTACCACTGTCGTCGCAGCAGATTTCAAACTATTCAGACCGCCGAGTATTATTTCGTTCGATTTCTTTCCTGTTAAACTTGATGGGCTAAAATAAGAATTAATAGAAACATAGATTCAAGAATGAACCAGAAGAAAAAATCTACTTATATACACATATTAAAAATTTAAGACTAGATAATGTGAAAAGATACACATAAAAGCCGCGTATCTAATGAGCATCTGTGCAACTAACATATACATTACGTACCTGATGTAGCTGGAGAGACTAAGAGATTCAATAAGTTGATTTGATGATATTAAATCCTTATTTTTAGCAAACGCCAATCCACCCGTGGAGTATCGTCTATATTTAACGAATAAAATAACAAAAACCAACTCAAATGTGCATGCGAAAAATAAATAAAAGTCAAATTATATTATTCCTCTAGTAGTATGGTTAAAAATATAATATTCATTTTTATTACGTATACATAATGTATAAGTACACGTAATAATATATTTTTCTCATTAATCCTGTTTGCATCATATATATATATATATAATCAAAAAATTTAACTAACCAAGTTTTGCAAATCATGTGTTATCACCACACCACACTTTGGAGGAATTAAAACATAATGCATTATGAAAGATGTTCTCTGGCTACAGACACGATGTGTATGTTATTAAACTAAACGCACAAAAAAATATCTTACCCAAAACTAAGTTTAAGACTAGATCCTAAGCTAGAGAGGCTGGATGTTACACTATCTTTATTCTGAGACCAAAGACTGCTTATTTCCAGTCTCTCCTTTTCTCTCTCCTGTTCCCCTTGTTGCGCCACGGAGTGAGGCATTGTCTCACTCCTCTGCAGATGCCCACCCACTGTCATACCACTTTCATCTACCGCTTGATGAAACGTCGCACTACGTGGGAGGATGTTGCTGTAAACACACATTTTAGATACAAAATGATTTTCTTGTACTTAAAATCATACATGTATGTGATTTTACGAAATGTATCTTCAAAAATCAAAAAGCATTTTTGACGCAACTAATCTCTCCACAAAAAAAGTACTTTCGTTGTGTAAATGTTCACAATTACTTTGATTACCAGTAACAATTAAATCTCCCATTAAATGATTGCGAATTATACGATTGCAATTTTGTGTATTTTTTTTTATACGTTTGTATTTCGAAAAATATTTATATTTTTAATTATAATAATCATAACTTTTTCGAAAATAATATGCGGTATGCATATACTTTTGAATGTTGTTTTTAAATCAGATATTTATATTAATATTTAATTCAAGCGAATACAATATGTAAAATATCATACCTTCTAAATAAGAGCGGCCCTCCTGGTCTCTCTTCAGTCGTATTATTTAAAACCGTTAAAGTACTTGTTGAGCAATTTGAATCATTTTCCTCGGAAGGTGACACAATCGGTGTTTCGTCATTAATGAGAGCACCCAATGGGTCATTTTCCGTAACTGGTGTGCGTATGGGACTTTTTAATGGCGATTCGACACTGCGCGTTAGCCTACATGGAAAATATTACATCTACATAAGCCTATACATGCAAATTAGCATTATAAAATTCAACTGTAAAAAGACGAAAAGATTATTTATATAAGATTTAACAATGACAGAATAGTCTACACAATGAATACTCGTTTGTGTGCATCCCCGCTACTGTAATACTAATGAAACAATATAATCTAAAAGAACAAGCGCTTCCAGCATGGAGCAAACTTGAGAGCAACACTAATATACAAATCCTAAACATATAATAAAATACCTTGGATTACTCGGTGTTTGTTCCAATTCGTCCGTTTGTAACATACTTAGCGTTGTTTGATCTTTCACTATACTATTCTGCCGAAGAAGCTTAGTTTTTAATTCAAATGATCCGAATCCGGGTAGATCCGACACAGAACTGCCTTTAGTGGCTGCCAAATAAGAAAAAAGATTGTTATTTAAAAAATAATATAATTGAACTATCATACTATCATATTAAATTATTAATTAACTCACAATCACTATGTGCAGCTTCAGTATCTTGAGAATGGGAACTGTCGAGACTAGACCGAGAAAGCGCATGCTCCATGCATTCAATCTTATCGGCGGTTAAAAAGTCCACATTAGAGCTCAATCGTCTTTTAGCACTCTTTTTTCCAGCCTTTTTAAATAGAGCTGCACCAACGATGACATTCCGTAATTTGTTCCACATTAGCTGACTTGAGTTTGTCATATCGGAAGGCCAAGTTGCCTCCAGAACAGCCTGTAAACATAGCAAAGAGAATCAACTAAAATAACTAAATTATTTTTCAATATATAATTATAAAAATCTTTAAATAATTTTACATTTTTTGATTATAGTATTTTATTTATTAATTTAAAAAATAATTGACAATTCACCTTATTGTAAAATCCGTATGTTAAAGCGTTAGGTTGAACGCCACTGCGTTTCATATGGAATAATAACTTTACAGCTAAAACTGGTTGCCCATATACGCCACAAAGTTGCATCATAGCTCTGTAGCATACCTGAAGAAATAATCAAATAAAATATGCATTTAAAAATAATAAAGCTATCTTTAATATGAAAATCGTTATACTTCTTCCATAGGATCAAGACGTAACTTCTGCATCTTGACTAATACTTCATAAGCCTGATGTAAAATCGCAGCAGGTTGGTTAGAGACTTGTAACATGGCTGGTAAATGCAGAAACCAAAGACTATGACATGTACCGAGCAGGCATCTACCCCATCTATCCGGCATCGCAGCCTGAAAAGAAGAGAAAAACGTAACAAGAAATCAAACATGCATATTTGCTTGTGTGAAAAGATTTTTATATAGTCAATCGTTTCATTTACTTGTTTTCGAGCCATCCTTTGAGCAACTTTGATTTCATGCTTTGTTCTACGAGCCATAGGACTCCCAGGTACCATACCAAAGGCACTTAAAGATGGATTCTTTAAACAGAAATTCTTCTGAGGCCTCATTAGATCCGGATTCAATTTGAACGATTTATATATTATTGGTGTTTGATTTGTCCCTGCTTCAGGTGGAGGTATAAATACTGTACGTTCACTGTGTTGAGATTCATCTAGTTCCAAAAGAGTTACTGAAAATCATACGAGAAAATGAAAAATTACGATGCATGTATGTATTGTACAAAATAAAAAATATATTTATTCATACCATTTTCCTCCTCAACTCGTTCTGTACACTCATCGAAAAACGCTAACCCTGCCATATCCATATCAGATACGAAACTTCTCTCTTCTATGAATCTATAAAATTTATATTTTTATTAAGATAAAATTTTATTAAGATTTTATTAAGATAAAATTACAATTGAACAGAATGGATAAATATAAATTAATTTACCTAATAAACATTTGCGTTCTGACGAGCATGGTGTAAAATTTAGCATGGGCTTTATCACGGCTTCTCAAAAACGCTTGAATATTAAATAAACTTGTCGGATCCGTCGTTCCTACAGTTGGTGCTTTCGTAATCGGTAACAGATAGCTTCGGTAACCTTTGAGAATTGTTGCCATGAATCTTAAGAAAGCATCCTGTATTTCGAGTTCTAAAGCTTGCTCCTTTCGTTTTTGTTGAAATTCTCTGTCCACACTAAAGTCTTCATCTCCTCTATCTGATATAAATAACAAAATGTTAATATTAATAGATAAAAAATAACAGTAGAAATAAATAAATAAAAAAACAGTATACCTTTCTGAGAACAACTAGTTTTTCCCCACAAAATTATCTTGGAGGACAAATGCTCTAACCAATTTCTGAGTTGTCTGGCTGCCTTTTTAGGTAGTAATTTAACATTTAAATATTTTTTATCATCGCATATCGCTATGTTATTCGTATCCAAATTTACACAGTTGACATCAGAAGGAGGATCATATAAATCAAAGAACCTTGAATCCACACCGATCAGAAATGGCAATGGCGCATGCAATACCTATAATTTAAATTACATTAGTTTCTTTTTCATTTTTTTTCATTTGTATAATAAAAAAACTGGTATGTAAACTTAATATGTGTTACCTCCGCTAATCCTAAAGGACACAATGGTATGTAAGGACATTGCCATTTGAAAGGAAATAGAATCATAGCAATAGCCTCGCTCACAGAAGTTAACACATCCGGGCGTAAAGAGTGAACCAGTATTTTCTGTTCCGTTAATATTAGTAACAATATCAATAAACAATTATCAGGTCCCAAGTTTATCAGTAATTGCCTGAAACTTGCGCCTGATCTGGGCAGCGCTAAATCCTCCGGCTGAGTCAAGATCAATCTATCCTGACTACTGAGCTGTACCAAGATTCGTGGGCGTTGCGGACTCGGAAACGGTATATCACATAAAAAATACGAGATATACTTCTCGATTGGGACATTCTGCGGTTTGTTGTTCACCATGCGATGTAGAAAAACTAAAAACTTCTCGAACGTGTCAAAGAATGGCCAGTGAGACAGTATGCATATAGATTTACTAATATTCAGTGATTGGCTTGCAGGATCTGTATACTGCAATCTTTCCAATTCTAATATACTGAGCTTCTTGAGTATACCAGTTCTCTTAAACATCTTCATCTTTACTTGTGGCTTATCTTTAGTTATTTCCATATTATCTGTTGAAAAAAGGAACAAAATAGAGAGAGTATTGTGGAATATATGTTATATATAAATTCACAATTATAGAAAAGTAAAAAATTGTCCAATTAAGTTAATGAAATACATTTTGTACCACTATTTTTATTATTCTCGACTGTGTCCATGATTTCCTGATTATTTTTGCAATTTGGAGTATCAGGCTCCATTTGAAGCTCCTCGTAAAACGTTATTGCTGAACCATATATTTTTTGAGCAGCATCGGCGACCGTTAGGACGAACGTCGAGAATACCGGTTTCGGTTTGCATGCTACTTTAGGCCAACATTCTATAGTCGCACCCATCGGTAAACAAAACATGGCGACAGAATTAGGAAAGACGAAACTGTTGTAATCCACCATGGGATATTTGTAGAGTATCGCCGGTTTAAACGATACTAAATTAGCGCGGTTCATAGATTTCTTGTAGCACAAAAACACATCGCTGCCTAGCATCCCCTTGTTCAGATTCTTATTAATAACACAGAATGCGTGCGGCGGGCTTTCCCCTTTATTCGTCAAGATAACACATATGTCTGTGACCACAAGGGAATTGCAAGGCATCTTTCGACTCGCTCGTCTATATGTTACAAAAATTTTCGAAGTAGAATTATTCACATTTGCGACATGGCCCTTAGGGGTTTCTAATACCATTTCAGCATCTTGCATTATACGTTCTTTCCCATCATATATCACACCTATAAAGTAAAACATCATTTAGATAATACAACAATATAGAAACAACATGGAAAATTATTAAAAATTTTGTTAATTAGAATATTTAGATTTTATAATTAAAATCGATGCGTCACACATCGTTTCAAAATGATTGCCTCATGAATCCTCGATTTCTTTGATTTTCTTACCAATATCAACCAATGGAGGTTTATCTCGCCCTCTTCTATAGCACAAGTAACACTCATTTGTCCGTAAACTCCCATGATTCAAGTCCGCTGGGAAACCGGATACAGTATATTCTAATAGTGTATATTCCTCCGGACAGTGTTCTCCCAGTGCAGGGAATATTACGGCAAGATCCGTGATAGGGGGTGGCATATGCATATCCTTGAGATGAGTGCCTTCCTGACACCAATCCTCCAACTTATTGTTAGCTTCATTGTCCTCGCTGAGCTCATCATCCTGACCAGGTAGACCGGCGATAACAAAATAATCCGCTACCCTTCTGTCGTCCATATTTCCAAGAAAATATAAAGTATCAGAATATCCAAGCTCTCCTTCCGGTCAAGCCTTATCTTCGATACGCCTCATATCACTTGCGGCACCAATCTCAACAAACTTTTGGCTTTCTGTACATGGCACTGAACTGATTCTATTCTGAAGCACTTCTTCTCGCGTATGCGGCACAACAAAACAGCATACAATATCCACTTGAGGATTTGGTAACTCTCCCTATATCGAAATGATCCAGACTGAATTAATTAATAAGACTCTTCTAGATGTGGAATCACTGTAACGTCATACTCCTTTGCTCTCTTATAGACTTACAATCTTATAAAAATATTTTGACTATCCGCTGATAAGTGTCCGCCGTAACGGTGGAGTATTCCTCGGCGCTGGTCTGTGTTATTGCTCGGATTGATACGGATGAAACTTGGTCGAGTCGTTCGAGCGCGTCGCAGAGGATGATCGTTCCAAATCCTCCTCCTCCTCCTCCTCCTCTTTCGTTGGCGTCCTACCGGGAAGCGACGGAGATCTCGAGATCGTCGTTTGCTCCTTTCACGGGATGAATGTCGGCGTGGTTCTTCGCACAATTTCAGGCGCGTCCTCGCCATGCATCCTCGCGTCCCTCCCGCGGATTTAATGTAAATAAAAACACCGAGGGCGCGTTCCTCGCCGGCGCGCTCACACGCGGACGTCGACGTCCGCCGGATCGGTCGGCCGTCGTCGCGATCACATCCCTCCGCGACGGGATATCCGCGCTCCTCTCCCACAACGTGCTCTCTCTCTCTTTCTCTCTCTACCTCTCAGAACGGAGTCATAGGTTAGACGTCACGCACACGCGACAGTTACACAAGTGCGCTCGCGGATGACGTTGTCGACACAGGCTCGCGGCGCCGCTAGACACGTGAATCGCCGTCCCCGTTCCCGTTCTCCACGTCGTTGCCCTCGTCGACGTCGTCGTCGTCGCGTGTCCCGTAACGGTGACGCAGCGACGTAACTGCGTTGTTGTGTCGTCGTGACCGGAACGCGCCCGCACAGAGATCGGCGCGCGGTGTCAGATGGCCATAGCCGTCCCCACTGGCCGCTAGCAAAATGGCCGACGATCGGTGGCGCGGCGGCACCTTCGACGAAGAGACTTCTGTCGCGCGCAAAACCGAAGTCAGGACACGCGGGTGTCCACCTCCTGTTCCTCTAACCGCGTACGATCGCGGCGACTCGCCTCGCATCCTCCACTCAACGATCCGCGAGATCCTCCGCGTGCTGACGCCGCCGTGCGCGCGTCATGCCCCTTTTTCCCTTACTCTGTTCTGTTTTTTTTATTCGTCTCGTTCTTTCTTTTTTCTTTTATTGGAACACGTCAGCTCCCGGGGATCATCCGAACCGCCGGGAATGAACAGGTGAAAATGAGAGACGGGGTTTTGGACGCGTGACGCGCAAGAATCGACTACGAACCCATCTTTTATCGCTCCGCGCGATCCACGCAAGGTGATTGCGACATCCACGCGCGTAGCCTCGGGCCGTCGAAGAGGCGACAGGCAATCTGAGGAACTCGTTATAATATATCTAACGATATCTTAATATAACGCGTGATAACGATACTCATTTTTCTTATACCGCAGTTGTTTGGTCTCCTTTATTAAGGATATATATGTATTTTAGATCTCTTTTTTTAACTTTCAAATTTATAATAAAAAAAAATTAATGAAACTTAGAGATTATTTTAAATCGCATTTCAAAATAATACAAAAAAGTTCAGCGGCGATTTCAGAATCTGGATCAAAAATTATTTATATAAATAAGTAAATATATGCTCTAATGGAAATGTAATTAAAAAATAATACCATACATCATTTTGAATACTTATATATAAAAAGATACTTATATATAAAATTCAGATTTTTCTTTGTCATTACTTCCTAATTACTCTATTAAAGCAAATTTTTATTTTATATTTAAATAATTGTTAATCCAGGTTCTGCCGCTGCAAAATTTTTTTATATTGTACTTTTAAATATGATCTAAAATAATTTATAATTCTTTCATTATTTTATCATTGTAAATAAAAAAGATATAATATATTCTTAATTACTGTTAATTATTGGACAGAGAAAATATTATTTAATACTATTTAATGTTTTCAAAACAACAAAAATATTAAATAATATTTTTAATTTTTTATTTAATGAAGTAAACGTCTTTACATTTTAGTTTTTTTTATTTAACGAACAGATGAAAATTTTGTCGTTTTTTTTTATCGAATTGGAATATTGTAATGAATAGCAAATATCTTCTGCTTTACCAGCAACATTGTTCACATTTTTCTGAAAATATAGATACGTTTAAAATTAGTCTGCGTTGCACAAGTTCACAATGTATCAACATTCTGATTTTTTATCGCGGGTTGCAACGAAGACTCGATAATATTCTTTTCATTACGTGCTTTCAGGATTTCATCATTTCTTTAAGACGTCACAGTATATAATTATTTCATTTTAAACGCAAAAAAGAACAGAAAAATAGCCTGTATTTATAGTTGATAAATTGATAGCTATTTTTTTTTAAGATAACTTCTTAAATAGGTATAAGTACATATTAATGAGTATAAATAATATATCGATAATTATCTATAGTTGGTAAAGACGCCAGTAATTTTCTCGATCAAATATCAAGAGTACTAACAAGAAAATGTCATAAAGATATAAACAAGGACTTAAAAATATTTATATCTTCTTTATTTCTCATCTGTTTTTTTGTTGTTCGGACGAAATGCTTTAAATACAGTTTTTACAAGACATTGTTCTAACAAAGGACAGATATCCTTGTGCATTTTACTCAAAAGGTCCATTGAATGTTCAATAGTATTCACATCTACACTTCCTACTACGAATATTTCGGAAATTTGGCCATGTTGTGGAAGAGCAGCCTGCATTATGATTCCATGATCGTCTGCTGTGTCTGGTTCAGTTTTTGTAGAACAAAAAGTTTCTTCTGTGTCTGTTGGATCCACTAGATATGTTTGTTTGCATATGCCCTGTTGAAAGCAATGTAAAATATTTGTTACTATAAATTTCCTTTAAAAATTTTCATAATTGTTTACTCACAATGGTAGATGCTGTAACTAAACCAAACATTGGTACTCCAGCGTTGGCCAAAGCCAAACTAGCTGCCATTATTGCTGCAGCCAATGCAGATCCCCCATTGTCAAGAACTATTGCATAGATATCAACTTGAAAATTAGGAAATTCTTGCTGAAAAAAACACATGTGACAGATTAATAATTATAGCCTTAAAATTGTATATGAATTGTTGATTTCAAGAAAATTTTTAATATCTTATTTTCAAAGTATTTAAATGATCTGTGAATAAAAAGAAGATACATACTAGACATACTGCTGGTTCTAAAGCTCTTTGCATTATCAGGCTATATTCCTTCTCCTCTGCATCTTGTTGATGTAGCTTCCGTTTGTGATGAGAAAAAGGTGCAAATTTAAACTCACAGAATAATTCTCCTTGCACACAATAGCCAGTTTTATTTGGTATCTCTCGAGGGTCAAATACCGAGCAAATGACTTTGGTGTCACCCATCTCAATATAAGCCGAGCCTTTTGCCTGACTGACTATGCCTGTTTTCATAACTGGAAATAAAATTATTCTTATAAATTTCAGATATTAATTTTTGAGAATGATTTCGATCCGAAATTCTCATTAATTTGACTGAATTAAATAATGTAGACTTGTCATCCATGGTATATAATTTAATTCTTATGTTAAACAACAAAATTAACACTTTTATTCAGCTTAAGATATTGCAGATGTTTTTTGGCTGATAGTAAATAAAGTTCGTCGAAATTTAATTGAAATCTCTGAATCAAGTATGTAAATATACGTGATATAACCTCAATTTTAACCTTACATATATTTCTAAGCTCGTTATTCGAGCGGCCATCGTGTCTTTTTGGAGCATTAGGTTGTATCCCATTGTCTTTTACTTCGGAATGAATATAAATGTCGTATGGTACAGAAATGTCCGGACCGTTAATCCGTTTCTGATCAATCGGCATTGTATATACATACACAAATTTCACTCTTGAAAAAGTGGAGGGCCAGTTTTAGCGCTACTTGAAATTGGATTATCGGCAAATATGGATCACGTGACGAAATTTTAAATTTAAATTTTTTTGCGTGCATTATAAAATTAATATAATATGAGATAATTGTTTAAATTTTTAACTTCCAAGAGATCATCAGCTTTTAATAATATCTGATTAATTATCAAAGTAATATAATCATATTATGCATCTTTCATCGTATCGTTTGCGGTTTATTTTTTGATTATGCATTGAATTTTTGAAATAGATATTAATAGAAATGACATTTTTTTAACCAGAAACATTGAAAATATAACAGATCAATATTTTCCTAAACCACATAAAACTTGTTATATTTTATAATTCATTTGTTCAAAATTTATTTTAATGTACACGATATTTCCTCATTTTATTATAAAAGATATTGTGATAGATAAATTTGTTGTTTTATGAACATGTGAATATTTTCCTTCAAATAATTTTATTTGAACTATATATTTTACATACTAATTTCAGAGAGAGATGTTTTTTCAAAAGTATAAGTATTTTATTCAGTATTTTTTTCAATTTATTTTTTCATCTCATTTTCAGTTACAAAAGACAAATTTTGTCAGATATCTTGCCATTTTATCACTTATAAATAAAAAAATTGTTCAATTTTAGATTTATAAGATAATTTTTTCCTCAAAAACCAAGTCATATATTTTTAATGTTAAATATCTTAAATATCTAATTCTTAAATTAAAAAAGTAGACAAACTAAATAAGAAAGGAAAAATTCGAATATGCTTACTCATTATATTTTTTTAAAAAAATGATACAAAATATATTAACATAATAATCCCTATAACAGAAAGGATATCGCTATACCATACAATATCTACAGTAACAATTCAGTCAGTACTCTTTTTATTCTTTTGTTGTGATATTTTATTTACAGATAGTTCGCTCTTTAATTGTTCTACTGCATCTTTCAGTATGGTTATATCTTTATTTATTTCTTCCATCTGCAAAACAAATTTGTAAAACTATTACAAAACATAAAGCAAATTAAATAGATTGGCTATTTTAAAAACACAAATTAATCTGATGTTATAAAAGCATGATTGTATCAACAATAAGATAAAATCAAATTCCAATTAATATAAAAGTTCAAAGCATGATTGTACCAACAATAAGATAAAATCAAATTCTAACTAATATAAAAGTTCAAATCACAACATGAAATTTCAAGAATATTTTAAATTAAACTTGGATCTAGATTGTACTAATAAATTTATTGAAATTCATTTTAATATTTTGTTTTTATTATGAACAAGAAAATTACAAATGTGCCATATGCCATATTTATAATACTTAGAATTTATCCATCTTCTCCATTTATTACTCCATCTTATTAGTATTGAATTAAAATATATACTTACATATTCTTTTATCGTATATTTTTTATATAAATCATACAATTCACCCACGGTCCATGCTTTTTCATCTTGCTTATTCAATTTAACAAATGGACAGGTAGGATTATGCTTTACATGTTCATTCCTGCAAATTTTTAATTTTAAAATTTTTGCTGATCAAAATAACGATTATATACATATAAATCATTTAACATACCATGGATCATCGTTTGGTTCCCAACCATCAAGTTGTTTATTACAGATAAAACATGCAACCAAGTCTGGCTCGTCGTTGTTCCCGATAACATAAAATCCAGCTGCAGCCATACAGTCAGCATTGCATTTGTTAGACTCGTTGAAGGGCCACTTGTCAAATGTTTTCCTCCTGCTCTGCTTCCAAAAGAAGGAGGTAACCCCTCTAAAGACAAAAAAATAACCTAATCTCTTTGTATATTCTTGCTTTGAAAACTTTAGAGCTTGCAGCGTCACGTATTTACTTCTAGTAAATAAAATCAAAGCATATAAAACCGAATTCAAAAGTAACAAAAGATAAATCGATGTCTTTTAACAAATACATTACATTGTTTTCATATTATATATTCCAGATTTATTTTGAGCGGACACTCACGGTAACTCTATATTGCGATTCATCTCGTTCGGGTAATTAATTGATTTCACTGATATTTATGGAGAAATAAGATTCTTCGTCAAACTCAACAAGATTCACAACGTTCTATAGGCCGCTGGTTATCATAAAGAGAATGAAACCGAAAATTCAAATTAACCCTCTTACTTTCGCTTGTAATTGTGTTCGAAAACGCAATTTTATAAAAGGCGGCGTCCACCAATCGTATGTGTAATGTGGGGAGAATACTTGATTGTGATTGGCCCATTCTTACAGCCTACTGCCACGATACCGACATATTGGCTGCGTTTAGCAGAGAAAACAGATCAGTGAGCGCTCAATGATTTTTCAATATGATTGGTTCTTGCCTTTAGATCTTCGTTGAATGAAGTGTAGAAACCAATCATAATAAAGAATCACTGAACGCTCACTGATCTACTTTCTCTGCTGAACGCAGCCATTGGCTGCGTTCCGATATTCACTGTAAGTACTGAAAATCTATAATATACGTGACCTGAACTATATATTTTCAGTACTAGCAGTGAATATCGAAACGCAGCCATTGTAAAACAGGCCTAAAGACCATTGCACGAAAAAAATTTTTATCGTAATCGTAAGACGTAAGCAAATTGATCTATCAGAGTCGATTATTTTTGGACGAGTAAAATAGGCTAAAACTCCGATTAATCATTTGCTTATGACTTTACAATTATGACTAAATTTTTTTCTCAAATGCAGTCTCCAATGTACGCGTGCCATTGGTCATTGGCATGCGTTTTTTACGCAATTCTATCCGAACAGACTCGTAGCCGGTCGCGTTCGCGCGACGCTCGCCATGATCGCGATCTTGCTGTTTTTGTTATGAGAACGATCAGCTGTGAGAGTCCTGAAGATTTTCGTTGTACCGGCTACTCGACCTCGGTGCGATCGAAGCGACAGTGAGACGGTAACATTCCCTCTCATTCCGTGCGAATGACGAACACCAAGAGGTCGAGTACGCCGATGATCCGCACGTCGTCCGCAGTCGAGCCGCGTGCGGCCGTCCGTCGACGTGATCGTGCGGCGATTTGAACAACTGCGCGAACACTTGGTTTCCGCGTGCGATCAACCTGATCCCGAGAAGGGATCGTATACAGTTTTCAGTGAGCTTCGCCGAGGAAGATTCACGCGGTAGCGAGAAACGGCGTGGTGACGGTCTCCAATGATACTGATTTTCCTTCACGGCACCTCGTCGTGGGAAAAATAGCATCAACGTCGTCACACAGATGAGAACTGTGTACACGCACATCTTGCGTAAAGATCTGCGAAAATGGCCTCCTCGGAGATCGACGACTTCCTGGCGGGACCATTGGTCACTTGGGTTAGTTCTTTCGGTTGAGAAATCTAGATGTTTTCTTATTAATACATGAGAGTAATGCGTTGAGATTGTTTGAGTTTATACTGCAATTCTATTCGAATGGAATGTTAATTATATACTCTTAATTATATATTCTTTGTTGTTTTAGTTTGCTAGTTGTCTGGAGAATCCCAATGTATTGGCGAACTATGAGGACTTAGTGGATGGTGTCTTGTTACATAGCGTTTTTTTACAAATGTAGGTACATAAGAGGAAACATTGAATTGTTATAACTTGTCATTATGATGATTTTATATTGAAATATACCTATTCATAGTAATCCAGAACCACTACATGATGAAGTAGCATCATCCAATGGCAATCCTGTTATTCGTACAAAGAACTTAAGAACTGTGATACAGAATATGAAGCAATTTTATGAGGAAGAGTTGGATCATGTAATTTTAAAATTACCTGACATTGCAAACTTGGGGAAGGAACCAGAGTTATATATAGCAGATATGAAGTTATTGTTGTTGTTGCTTCTTGGATGTGCTGTTCAGTGTCCAAATAAGGAGAAGTTTATCACCAAAATAAAAACTCTACATGTTGACATGCAGCTTGCGATAGTAGAGTGCATTAAACAGGTATTATATTTAAAATATTAATTTTTAAGTGATTACTAAAAGTGAATATTATTGAAATAAATTATATTAACGTAATTGAAAAAACAATTTAAATAAATCTGGGTATACTCAGGTTACAGATCATCAGGATATAGTTATCACACAAGATGCTATGGAAAACGCAAATATGGGTTATCTATTTATCCAAATAAAAAAATGGATACAAGAATTGGATTTATATCGGGAGGTATGAGCTAGTCTTTTGTTGGATGATTATCTTGTTTGGAACTATTTACAGTTGTTTATATGATGTTATATTTTATAAAAATAGAAATGGAGAGATACAGCGCTGGATGATAGTATCGAAAGAAATGATTCATCTATCAGTGCAGAATCTGAGGAAATAAGTAAAGTGCAACAATCTCATCCTGTTGCTAAAGCGGAAAGAGAAGACAGTCATCATTATGCGGTTGAATTGGCTGACTGGAAATCTAAAGTTCGAAAACAACGTCAAGAATTGTGTGTATTTTTTAAAAACTCCAAGCTCTTTATTGTATCATAGAATGTTATTGTAAATCTTTATTATTTACTTCATTATAAATCTCATAAAACTCATAAGAATATAAATGTTATGAAAGGATAAGTAGAAAATTCAGAAACATTTATATTTTTATATTTGTTATTTTTAAATATTTGTATTTTTATATTTGTTTTATCAAAGAATTGTTTTTTGTTAATTGTACTGTGTAATTTGTATTGTGTTATAATTTTTATTTTTACATAAAACTTGCAGAGAGGAAAAGACGGAAGCTCTACTCGAATGTAAAGAAGAACTGGAGCATAATAAAGCGTTACTTATAAAACTAAGACAAGAGGTAACATATATTAAGCAATTTATATCTTTATAATAAATATATAAAATCTGTAATTTTAGAACCAAGAATTAATGCATGAAGCTCGCACTGCTAAATCATACAGGGATGAATTGGATGCTGTAATTGAAAGGGCGGATAGAGCAGATCGTTTAGAAATAGAAGTAACACGATACAGAGAGAAACTTACAGACATTGAATTTTATAAAACTCGGATAGAAGAATTACGTGAAGATAATAGGTATGTAACATTAATAGATTGTCTTTTAATATTATATTTTATTGAGATATGTAACATGATTTTTATTATAAATTTAAGAGTTTTAATGGAGACCAGAGAAATGCTTGAAGAACAATTAAGTTCGTCAAGGAACAGAGCAGACAAAGTATTGGAACTTGAATCTGAAATTATTAAATATAAGCAATTACTTAATGATATGGCCTTGGTAAAAACATTAAAAATTTTATAATATGAATCTAATAATGTTTGTAATAAAATATAGTAACAAATTGAAAATAATTTATAGGAACGTGCTGCTGACAAAGAAAAATATCAAGAACTTGTTGAAGAAAATACACAACTGCATCAATTAACGAAAGCTGCTGCTAGTGAAGCTGCATTAACTGGATCTAGTGACTCTGAAGAACCAGGTAATCTCATGTTTCAAAAAATTGCATTCGACTAGTTTTTTCTTTATTAAGATGGTTAAATAACTGTGTTTGACTATTTCTTTGTTCAGTACACAATGATAACAGACTGTCCGAACAATTAACGAGTAATGCTCAGACACGAGCATTAAAATTAGAACTGGAAAATCGTCGTTTAAACACTTTAATCGATTCTCTGAAAGAAAGTTCATTCCATGAAAATTCCACTCGTGTATTAGAGTTGGAAAAGGAAAAGAAAAAACTTTCATTGAAAATTGAATCGTTGAATGATAATAAAGAGAGACTTGTACAACAAAATACCGACTTGGAATTGGTTTGCAAACAAGCATTGGAAGAAAATAAAAAGCTTCAAAATACTCTTAAAAATCAACGAACATCTTTCGAGAAGCAACAACAAGAAGTTCAAGTATGTTAATTCACATATTTTCTAAACAGTTTGTCTCGATATTAATAATGATTATGTTTTCTTATATCTTTGAATTCTTATATCTTTTTTATTTTAGTCTCACCATGTAAAAATGATGGAACTGGAAAAAAATTATGATACTGCGGTGAAAGAGAAGCAACGTGTTCAATTATTATTGGAAAGCGTGCAACGACGTGCTGATGAATTAGAACGCACTTTGGAAACGGCAAATCAAAAAGTTGAGGAATTAAAGCTTATCGAAAACAATATTAACGATATTAATACCAAATGTCTTAATCTCGAATCAAAACTAACAGCGACAGAGAAAGAAAAGGATGCCGCTCAACGTGATATTCATAAATGTAGAGAAACGATTGAGGTGAATATTAATTTTTATGTGATATATTTAATATAGGCAAATAATTTTATGTAATATTTTAGGAAAAAGATGTAGCCTTAGATAAAGCAACAAACACAATCGAAGTCTTGGAGAGAAAAGTAGTACAACTTGAGCAGGAGTTACAGGATTGTGTTACACAGATATCAAGGTACGTTTGAAAAATTGATCGTTTGTATAATAAATCATTCTCGGAATAATTTCGAATATTATGAAATTTATTTTGTTCTAGATTGCAAGAAATTGAACGATCCAGTAAAGAGCTCGATTCACGAGCTGCGATTGATAGAGAAACTTTAGAGATACTTCAATCTAATCTCGTCGCAGAAAAGCTAAGCAATCAACAATTATACACAGTTTTGGAAAAACTTGGTCTTAGCGATAATATATTGTTATCTCAACCTCTAGATATTATATTAGAAAAGTATGGATAAAAAATAGAGAGTAATATGTGGAAAGAGATTCATTATATATATATATATATATATAAATTAATTTAATTGTTGCAGAATTGCCCAAATACCAGAGGTGATAAATCATATTAAAAAATCATTTATATCAGAGAACAGCGAGGAAATGATATCTGAGTCTACCGACAAGGAAAGCGATGTTAATGAGACTTTAGAAACTATGATAGAACCTTTAAAGGTATTTACATTTAGAAGATAAAGAATTATCGCATGTGTGTTATAATTTATTATTCAATTTCAGCAAGAACTAGAACATTTGCAAGTAAAATTATCCATGTCTGAAACAGCAATGGAGCATTTATTATCCGAAAATGCGAAACTCCAAGTTCATATAACAACATTGCAATCGCAAAGCAATTCGTTAACTGCGCAACATACCGCGTTACAATTGGCCAATTCACAACTTGTCGCAGAGAAAGAAGAGGTATCTAGCTATCTCTGATTTTGTAATTTTTTCTGTTTTGTATAGTTATAATGATTATTTATTATCATTTATGTTTTTATTTTTTTAAATAAAATGTTATCCATATAATCATGATAACATATATGTGAATATATATTAATATAACATATTTATGAATATTTAGCTCCTGAAAGAACGCAGCACACAGCAGAATGTATATTCTGCGCTACTTCACGATCAGAATACCTTACAATCATTGCATGAACAATTGAACAATGAATATGAAAATTTACGTCGCGAGCGAGATACGCTTAAGTCGAATTTAAGAGACGTGAAGAATGAGAATAGAACATTGCGTGAGACTTCTGAGAGACTAGAAGCAAGAAGTGAAACGCTACAATCTGAACGGGAAGCCTTGATTAATAACACAAAAAGTTTAAATAATTTGCGCGGGGAGCATTCAAAATTGAAGGTATTTACTTGCAAAATAAAACTTGAATATTTGATATATATATATATATATATATTTATTTAATATTTAATATATATTGATACACATTGCATTACATTTGATATACATCTTTATTTAATATTACACATATAGTTTTATTTTATTTATAATTAAAAATAAAGATTCTAATGATGTTATAAATATTCTAGGACGACTTTAGAAATTTATACACTGCGAGTGAAAGATTGAAAGCAGAGTATAGGAATTTGCAAGATGATTACAGAAAGAATAAAATTGAAATGAATCGTCTCAGCTTAAAACAGACCGAGATGCAGGGTGAACTTAGTGTTAAAGACGAACAATGCTCGGATTTGAAGTTAGAAGTCAATAGCCTTAATGAACGATGTGATGTATGGATACGACTTTATAGCAATATTTTAACTTGTTAAGATTTAATTCCTGAACAGCCATATTTATGACATCATAGATGTCGAAAAATGATGTGCAATAAGTTTCTTGCACGATATAATTTTTTAATTTGTTTATTATTTTTTAGATATTCTTAAAAAACAAGTTTTGTAATTTTGAAACCTGCAAAATATCCAACAAACAAATGTCTGCCTGATATATTACGTAGAATCATAAAATAATTTCTAAACTAACAAGTCGTTTTTCAGCTGTACATAGGAAGAGACAATTAAAGTCATGGTCGCTTGAGCATGACTGAAAAATGACCTGTTATTTCAGGAATTATTTTATACTTCTATATAATAGATGGAACAAATATCTTAATTTTCCATATATTTTATAAATTTCAGGATGATATTTTTAAGGGAAAATTAAAAAATAAAATTGTACATTATAAGGAAACTACTGCACATCATTTTTCATTTATGTCATAAAACCGGCTGCTCGAGAGAACCAAGTCTTAATTATAAAAATTTCATAGAATGTATGTTTCATAATATGTATGTTTTTTCTTTCTTTTTTTTTTAGATGCTATTAGAAATGAACTCTGGATTAGATAATGACAGACGTTCTTTAATGGAGCATATAAGCTTATTATTTACGCAATATCACGAACTTTTAACACATTCGCTTCAAGATAAGGAGCATTATCACATGGAAGAAAAATTATTCGCGTTAGTATAAAAAATTATCTTTATTAAACATTATATTTTACACATTATATAAATTTTTTATACATTACATATCATTATATATGTCATTATTTCTTATTTATCATAAATTTTATTTTATAAATATATTTGCAGAGATAAGGTTAATCATTTGTATAGACAAAAAGAGAAATTAGAAGACAAGATTATGGAGCATTATAGAAAATTAAACAGCTGCACTACTAAGAAGTACGTTCAATAAAAAGTTGTATTATTTAATCTCTATATCTCTTTTAAATTATATGAAATATTTACTTTTATAATAATTATTATGTACATGTTTTTAAAACATAGAAAAGGTTTTGGGGCTAGTTTAGTCCGCAGAGTCAGGAAAGCCGGATCAGAGCTACTTAATAAGGTAAATAAAGTAATTGTACATAGTAAGTATATTATATTTTGTGTAATGTGTCTTTATATTTCCTTGTTAATTGATTTTGTTATCTAATACGACCAATATCTTCATAATAATTCAAATAATTGTTAATGATTTCTATAAACGAGTTAATGCAATAATGGTAAAATTATTTAATAGAATCGACGTTCGTGGGCCGAAGATTCCAAACAATCAGACAGTAAAACATATGAATCAGACACAGGTGGAAATGATTCAGATGCAAGCACCGATGACTACCGTTTACCTGGTAATGTTTTAGAATAAAAGAGATGATCAATTATTAGCAATATCAATAATAATTTGCAATGCAATTTTATTCAGGACCGAGTAGAGTTTTTGGATCAGATGCGCTTGGGCATGCTGGAACCAGAAGAACGGTGTATTACACTGACGATTCCCCACCATCGTCCACTTCTTTACCAGTAAGCAAAAACTCTACAAAAATAATAAAAATAAAAAATCTATTATATCGGAAAAATATATTTATCGAGGAAATTTTGGAAACGCAGACAGACAGGTTGCTAAGCGAGTCCTTTCAGGAACAAGGAGACAACGTACACACTACACAGATGGAGACGAACTTAAAACCGGAAACGCAAGTCGAGTCACGCCCTTTTTTAATCTACAATAAAGTATCGGCGGTCATAAACGAGTCTAAAAACGTCGGTAGTAATCCGATGAAAGACGCAACGCAAGATGAAGCATTTACGGAACCTCCCACTGATAAAGAGCCAAAGACTGGCAGTCCGATATGGTATGAATATGGTTGTGTATAAACTTCCACATCTTTTTGATGCTTCCATTAGTAACGTTTGAGATAAAAAGAGGGGAAGAGAAAAAAATGTAGTTTTATAGATACGTAGTTTCCAGTTTACAAGAAAACATGTGTAAGCATCCCTCCATCGATTTTAATGTATACTTTTCTTTGTTAGTTAATTAAACGCACATAGTTTATATTCTACATCAGATGAAAATTAACGCAACGCGAGTGTATACTTGCTCAAAAGGGGATCGTAATTACCATCACAGAAAGTATTATATATACTAAAGATTTATATTTTTTAGCTTTAGTAAACAAACTGCCGTAATTAATATTGCTCCAGAAATTACAAAGTAGACTTAAGAATAGAGCGCCTACGAGTTCCTAAAAAGCTGCTTGTGTTAAGATAAGTCGAAAATATCTTTTATCATTGACTCAATTTGAAAAATTTTTCGTGTGATGTGTTTTTCTTGACTTGTATTTTAAATTCAAATATTTTTATATAAGATTTCGATAATAAATTCCATTTGATTCTCGAATAAAAGAGATATATAGATGTAATTTGTAAAAAATATATGATCCTCAAGAATGATCGTAAAAAAATGAACCAATCAAATTACAAATTAATTAATTATAGTGCTTTATTCTATTTAATGTTTAACTATTTTTGCACATTTATAAGTACAATATATACTTGTCCAAGTTTTTTGTTATGCATTCACAGCTATTTAACGCCACATACCTATTCAACACGTATAGATAGAATTCTTACATTTATATTCTTGAAAATATAAGATAAATAATTGTTCATTTTTTTGTAGACTAATATAATAGACATAAGCTTATGCTAATAATAATAGCATAAGCTGGATTCCATATATGCGAATAAAGCGCATATGTGCGCATTTATTTATAAATTCATGTCATATATACTGTAACAAAATGCGCGTATATGCACTTTATAGAATTCAATCTATGTATTTGCTTACCGATTACCTCTTTACCGCTCGACTTATCATCGATGTAAGCTAAAAGATTTTAGCTAATTATTTTCTACGTTTTGATAACTTATACTTTTATAATATAATTGCGTATGTATTAAGTATAGATATAGTATCTATAAATCATCTGTCTTGAAGTTTTGTCACACAAACATTTTGCACAGGAACATAATTGAGTACTTAACGATTCAGTATTGAATAACGTCTTCTATTCTTGCCATTCCCGAGCACTACCTTCTGACATGTCTTCCTACAAAACAAGATACGATCGTTATGATCGTCGCGTGATATGATTTGTAATTATATTTTATTACATCATTGCATGTTAAATAAAAAAAAGCACTTAAAGTGATACAAGTATTTCTATTTAAACTTGTTCTATTTAAATTTATTTTAGATAAATAACGGTAAGTTACAATATTAAAAATATAAAAAAGTTGAGTATTTATATTTTTCTCTTCCCACCAAAAATAGAATTATGCAGAAGATGTATATGTGTGTGTGTGTGTGTGTGTGTGCGATAATGTTTAATAATATTTAATAAAAAATTAAAAAATTAAATTTTAAAAAAAGAAAATAAAATTTTACAAAATATAAAATCAGTTTATTGTTTCAAGTATATTTGTAGAAATAATTTTTCCTAATTGTAATTTATATTATACAACTTTTATTACATTCGACAATTCATTCAAAAAATATGGACATCATATTAGTAATCTCACTTGGTTATAGCAACCTCATGTTATTGCTTTTCTGTAGCCAACTTCACGTTTATTTTACCGTGTATAATATAAAGTTGGATATATATAATCTTCGTACCAACAGCGAAATTGCAAAGATTAAAGTTTGCTATTGTATTATAAGTCGGATAGTGTCGACAACTAGTGGTGATAAAGTAAGCGGTGTAAGTATTGATAAATCATTTAAAAATTATAAATATAATTTATTGATAAATAATTTAAAAATTATAATAAATATAACTTGAAAGAAAATAGACGATTATTTGAACAACATAAATTAAAAACTGCGTTCAGTTTATATCAAATGCATCTATTTGATTTTATTTGTTAAACATTAATACATTTGTAGAAATCTATGTATTCAATTATTTTTTGTTTTCTTTATAGCGATATTCTATTTTAAAAATATCAATTACCTTTTAAAATATCACTTCTCTCTCCCTCCCCTCTTCCAAAAATGGAAAAATTCATGATGATATCTTTCTGATGGAGAGTAAATTTTATGTTTTATTAATATTAGTATGGTTTGTCAGGATTTATTAAATCTCAAAAAACCAATTAGAATTTATTACAATTTGTAAACGCTATTTGTAAACGCTACATTGCAACCTATTAAAAACATTTCTTATTTTCTTTTTTCAAAATTGCATGTGTAGTCAAGAAAATCTTCGAATGTCGAGATAAGATGCCAGTAAAACAATTTGATCCTCGCGTGACTCGTGAAATGAAGCAGCTGCGATACCGCGGCATCTCGAACAAAAATCTCACGCATAGTAAAATGTTTGCCAGTTGCCGATCCCCTCGTTTTTCTATTGGTTTTTCTGCTGCATTAATATGTTCTGGTCAAAAAATTGTCCACCGCGCGACCCCTTTCCCAAATGTTTCTCAGGCCTCTTCCTCACCCCTTCGCAGTCTTTCTCTTTTGTAAATTTGCATATTTCCAACCAAAGAACCATGCTTCTTCATTAAGCATTCATTCCATTAAGCACTCTTTTTTTTATGCGATACGATTATATTAAGATCCTAAAATTCGCATTTGTGTCACGCACATAGTGTTGAAGACGCTGCTTTTTTGTTGAAAAGAAAATGTTATACGAAGTTACGAAAAAAAAAAACTCCTCAATCGTCTCGAAACAATCGAACTTTAAAAAAAGGCTATAAAAATCGAAGTTTGCTATCACTTATCATGTTAAATTAATAATTTTCATATTATTGTAATTTCTTAAAAATATCATTTCTTTCCTCTACGCTTTATTCACCGGTCAAAAACATTGCACAATCCTATTTTGTTATTTTTTTTAAATAAAGTTTTTAGCAAATGATTGAAATAGTAAAAATTAATTCAAGAGATTCAAGCATAAAGATGTTACGTGTTACATAAATATAAATGATACTTTTATGCGTGATACTTTTAAAACGATTTCATTTGATATCTCGCACAAGTGACTGATTCATATAGTTATTTGAGTTCAATGAATCGAATTTGATACACTGGAATCACTTAT